AAACACATCTACTGGTTGCCTCTTGCATGCACTTGACCAGGATCAGGGCCAGGGAGGAGCCTGCAACCAAGTTACTTGTCCTTGACCAGAATTGAAGATGGGACCCTCTATCCACAGGCCAACACTTCATCCTCTGAGTCAAACCAACTAGGACAACAATTTTCTTTAAGTATTGCTTTTTGTGTTCTTCCAAGAAACTTTTGACTACCTACAACTCATGGTGATTCCTATATTATCTTCTGCAAGCTTTATAGTTTGCTTTTCACTTGTTTTATAATCTGCTTCAAATTCGTTTTTGTACGTGGTGTGATATGGGGCTGCAGCTCTCTGCCACCTACACATACAGGTATCCCATACTTTTTAGAGTTCTCATTAGGCTGCTTCACTTTCACAAAATACCTAAATTAGTGCTTATTTTTGCTCATTGAAATAGATATTTGCTTTTATACAAAAAGGCAAAAAACTAGTGTTCAGAGTTTGTTTTGCAGTGAACCTTAGAGGCAGCATGCATCCTGGGAACCGCAGATTCAAGCCCCAGATTTTTGAGTTCTGTCTGCAAGCATCTGTGTGTTATACCAACTTGTTTTGTGCATCTCTTAGCAAGATGTGTCCTAAGATGCACTTGTTTTGTGCATCTCTTAGCAAGAAATAATTATTCACTATACACTATTTCAACTTACAAAAAGTTTCATAGGAACAGTATACTTTTCAATGTAAGTGACTGAATTGTAAAGGGTGCCCAGATGGTCCCAGGAGAAACATATTAAGTTGAACAACCATTAAAAACTATCAACAGAGACCTTTTCTCATTAGTTATTCTTAGCACTGATAGTGATTATAAAGTGAATCTGTACTGTAAAGTCATATGGTAACTGATGATTTTTAGTTAGTGACACACAAAAAAAAGCAAAAAACAAATAAACGCAAATAACAAAGGGGCCTCTTGCTCAACGGGAGCATTCCAACTGGGGTCTTTATTGGAGTGGTCCTTGGAGCAGATTCATGAGACTGTTTTTAAGAGCCTCTCTTAAATTACCTGGAACAACAGAAAGATCAAAAGTACTCAAAACCAACATACCATTCCACAAACCTTTAAATTAAGTTGAAACTTCAGTTTAAAATGTAAAGTTTATTTTAAACAGATTATTATTGTTTCTAAAAGTGGCAAATAGAGCATACTTTGAAATAAAAGTATGGGGAAAGGTACAGGAGCGAGTAGAGGTGGGTGGGGGGTACATGAAGGAATCACACAAGGTTGCAGGGGGTCAGACACCTCCAATGTCCAGGAATGTGAATGGGTCCTGACCTTCTGAAGATGGTGGTATGAGCAGCCACATGACAATTATAAAAAAGAGATGAGTAGATGAGGATGAGGGGAGACCAAGAGTCATGCCCACCAACTGAAGTTTACTATTTTCTCTCCTGGACTGGGAGAGTGAAAGGGGTGAGGGGAACAATCCTCTGTGTGGGAAAGGACAAAGAAACTCCTTTGGAGTTTATTGGACCTGAATGTGAACCCAATTTTGCCTCTGATTGGCTATATGACCTGCAAAGGTAATTTCATTTTGCTGTGTTCATTCATCTATTTTTTTTTTTTAAAAATTATAAAATAGCAATAGCATGCTTAGAGATGGATGAGTGTTGAATAAGTGACTATTGCCTCCAAATTATTGAATGACTATTTGACACAAAGTAAAGATGTTAATGAATCATCTATTTCAATTCTACAGAACTATAATAGACATTTTTACCTCCTATTGAACGGATGTGACCAAGGTCTCACAGGTAGTTGGATAACTACAGTCTCAAAGTCCATCTTTTTATACCATGCTACACTCCTTCTCTGATTCTCTTTCTTGTTGAGTTCTGCTCAGAATCCAGTACATTTTTTTCACATTGGAAGTTGACACCATGTCCCCATCAAATAGCGATACATCCCAAGAGTGATCATGCCCTTAAGACCTCTACTGTCTTTTACCTTCCTCCACCACTGGGACCTGTTTTGTGAATGTATGAATCCCAAATACCCCAGTCAAAATATGTATTGAATGGCTAATGGATGCAACAGCAAGTCATAAAATTTATTCTCTTTGAAATTCAGCTTATTGTACAAACCTGTTCTTACACCTTTTCTTCTGAAAATTACCATTTTGAGTTTATCTGTATTATGTTCAATGACATTCGCTATTTTTTCCCATTTTTATTAAGAAATGGTTAACATACACCACTGTGTAAGTTTACAGAGTATGTACAGCATGGTGGCTTGATTTTCATATACTGTGAGATGATTAGCACAATAGGTTCAGCTCAATTAATTTTTTCACATATAGACAATAAAAGATATTTTCTTCATGATGAACTCTTTTGATTTACTTTAATAACTTTCCTATTTATCGAACAACATTGTTAGCTATGGTCATCATGTTGCACACTGCCATTTATTTTATAACTGGAAGTTTGTACTAGGTTCGCTATTTTAAAGAAACTACACAACCTTCTAAGTACTGGTCAGTGAGTGTAAGAGACAAGGACAAATTTACATTCTAAAGGAATGTAGATAAAGAAAACTATTAAAACGAGTAATAATCTGAATGGATAACATAACCTTGAAACCTGCTTGCATTGCACTGAGAGCCATCATGGCGTCTTGACTTAGGGAACATCTTCCCCCTTCCCCTCACTCTCCTTCAAAAAGCCCAGGATGCTGGCCTTCACTCGTACAGACACTGTAGTTGTTTTTTTGTTTGTTTGTTTTGTTCTTTCTTTGGTGTTTGTTACTAATAGCTGAGAAACCCTATTCCTAATGTAACCACACTCTTGAAACCATAACCCAAATACCTTGCTGGTCACCAGCGTTTGGCTCAATCTGTGGACGGTTCAGGACCAAACCATCTCAGGGTGCATGCCTCACTCATGGAGGCCCAATCATGTTCGTTGTTTCTGTGTAGACTAACATGAACACAGACCAATGATCATTTTTATCAATTTCTTTTGGATTGTCTTCCTAGACTCAATGTAACAAGTACAGTCCTAATCCTACCCTTGGATTCACGAAGGTCCCTTGTCTAGAATCTTACAGGCTCCTATATACAGGCCAATTCTCTGTTCTAGTCTGCTGCAATCTTACATACAAAATCTTCTCAAAACTCTCTGACATCCTCCATTAAAAAAACAAAATACAGTTCCTTTAAAAAGATGGTCATTTAACTATTTTGAGATAAAAATGAAAGCAGTCAGTAGCTATAATTCAGTTTTCCATCTTGAATTTAAAATGTGCATTCTTCGTGGTCTTGGCATTTTTTTTTTTGAAAGAACATTTTATTTTAGGAGATAATTTACACACACATACACTGAATGTCAGCTTCAGCTGTTTATGTTTTCCGAGGGGAGAGGCCTCGCTGCTAACCCTAGTGCTGCTGAAACTGCAGCCCACAAGCCACACAGATTCTCCCCATTAGAAGCTGACTGGGCATCTTAGGACAAGGGCTGCTGCTTTGCAGGTAACAAGGATGATTTAAGTTACAGATCTCTGGTTCCCAAACTTCACTGGGCAAGAGATTCACTTGGAGGTGGGGACTCAAACAGGATGGCTGGGATACTCCCCCCCCCCCAACCCCTTCCACCCCCAGCTTCTGATTCTGTAGGTTGGGGGGTCCCTGGAAATGACATTTCTAACTCGCTCACACCTGGTGCAGATGCCACCATAGTTCCCTACTCTCCTGAGAAGGTGACTGGGAGTTTCATTTTTAAAGGCAAAATTTGTTCCCACTGAATCCTAAAGTGAACTCCCCAAGAGCTAGTAGATGCGCCACGGACCTTCCAGGCCCCCCTGACCCTCCCACGCGGGTCCAGCGGGTCCCGGGCGCGCAGGTGCCCTGCCGGGTCGTTCTCAGACCCGCACCAGGTATCCTCGCGGTCCGCGCGCCCTTCCCCATCCCGCTCACCCCCTTCTCCACCTTCCCGTCCTAGAGACAGCATCTGAGTGCACAGAGAAGGGTGGCGGGGGACAGAGGGGGCGGAGGGTGACAGGGGGCAGGGCACCCCGAGTTGGGAGGAGGAGGGACCTAAGGCAGAACAGAGGCTGGAGCCCGGCGGCGGAGGGAGGCAGAGCTACCCCCAGGTTGGACAGGGCGGACCGGGAGACCAGGGAAGAGGAGGACAGTGAGGAGCCGGTGACGGGGACCCTCACTGTCCTCCTCTTCAGCCTGGCCGTGGCACCCCAAGCTGCTCGGAGTCAGGCAGGGGACGGGAACCGGGTGACTCCGGAACTAGGGACGGTGCCCCGAGTGACCGGCCCGGCTGACCCGGCCGAGCCCTGAGGGGCGAGGACCTGGTGACCGTTAACCGGCCGGCGGCAGGGGCTGGACGGGGACGACGAGGGGACCAGCTCCCCCGGCCCGGCCGCGGGCGCACTGAGCCGCACGGCAGCGCACCTCCCAGCGCCGACTCCTCCGGTGAGCGGCTGCCTGCGCCTTAAATACCCTGCTAAAAATAGCCTGCGAGCCCCGTGTCCAATCAGACGCGCCCTAAGTTCGAATTTGGCCAATGGCGAGGCCCATGAGAGAGAGGCTCGGTCACGCCAGGCGGGGCCGCGCTGAACGGGCGCCCGCCATTGGCCGCAGCTGACATCATCGGCGCGCAGCCCCCGGGACGGGCGCGGCGTGATTGGGCGGTGCGTGGGGCGGGCCCGGCGAGTCACGTGGGGGGAGGGAGTGGGGGGAGCCAGGCGAGGAGGAGGGGGAGCTGGCAGCGGAGGTTTGAATAGGGAAGTTTTGCAGGGGTTACGTTTGCAGTCAGTCCGGTGTTTGCAAATATTGTGTGGGCTCGCGAGCGCGTCTCTGGACTCCGGCAGAATCTGAACCCGTGGCGCCTGGCTGTTGTGCACTGAGTTTGCATGAAACTTTCCCTGCGCTGCAGGCACGGCCACGGCGCTCCTGACTCCAGACCGCACACCTCCGTGTTGGTACCACAGCAGCGGGGACTGTCTTTTCCAAACCGACATGGATGTACTCCCAATGTGCAGCATCTTCCAGGAACTCCAGATTGTGCATGAGACCGGGTACTTCTCGGCGCTGCCCTCCCTGGAGGAATATTGGCAACAGGTAAATAGGAATTGTGTGCCAGTTACCCCGGTGCGCCACGGAGGGTGCATGCACACACGGACAGGATGGTGTGTGGTCGGAGGTGCGCTGTTTTTTATTTTTATTTTTATGATTTGGCTAAATATTTTTTAAAATTAAAACAATTATTTTTAAAACATACTCCTGCTGTCTCCGGTTGCGAGAGGCACTTTAAACCAGCTTTTTCCAGCTTGGAGCGGAGTTGTCATTTGCGAGGAGCGCAGCAGTGCTTCCTTACTCCCAGTGTTTTTAGCCCGTTTCTGGGGCTTCTGAACCGGAGGGCAGACCCAGCTCCACCGCCTGATCTCACGACAGGAGCCCCTGGCAGAAGTTTGGTGCTTGTACCAGCTCCAGGCTCCACAGCTGGAATTTGTCATTTGAACTTGCGTGGAAGCCAAGGGTATTTTTGTCAAAGATATTTGTTTTTGTTTTCCTTTTTGGTCTTTGTACTTAGACAGTTTCGTGTTTGTTTTTTTCAATTGGAAATTTCACTAGCAAAGCACCCACCAGCTTTTTTTCTCTACCAGGCCATTGCTTCTTTGGCATCCTTAACATTTACCTCCATCTACCTTGTTTTTCTTACCTACTTCTTTTTTTTTTTTTTTGGGGGGGGGGTGGGGAGGAAAGAAAGAACGTTTGCACAATCAGTGACTTATCAGTCATATGACAATGAGCCCTTCTAGTCTGAGTTTGGGAAGAAGAGCCTCAGTTTCCGGCATTTTTTTTTCTAGTGAAACTAGCATTTTTGGCATTGGACAAATCTGAAACTTAATTTTTTCCCCTTTCTAATTCGTTAGTATTGCCTGAAGGGAGAGAGATTCTGACACTTGTCACATTGTTTTTTAAAAGATAGAAGGGGCTGTCTCTCTGCGCTGCTATAATGTTGGCTTTTGTCACAAAGTACAAATATATTCTGTGGATTTCAAAGCCTCGAAAGCTTTAAGAAGGATGAAATGCAGTGTGGCAACCCTCTAATGCCTGCTTAATTGTTCTCAGTCCTGTCCTGCCTTCCTCCCTCCTGCCCCCTTTTCTGCCTTAAGAAGCTGCTCCCTAGGACGTGATTGAAATTGATCTAAGTAGTTTCCTTCGGGCATTTGGGATTTGGGCCCCAAGCCAGGCTGAGCTCTCCTTTGCCTTCATAGGCTTTTAAACTCTCTGAGAGCTTCGCTCTGGTCCTCAGTGCTCATCAGCGTAATGGAGATTTTAAATTAGCCAGATGACAAAATTTAATAAGATCTCAGTAAACGTGCTTTTGTTTTTCTTTGGAACATCCATAAAATATCTAGCCATCTCTCCTCTGAACACTCTGGCCTGCCCTTGTAACCTAGACATACAATTTTAGGGGTAAAGAGAAAACAATGGTTGTTTTTTCCCCTTTGCTTGCTCATGCTTGCTCCATGAAGATTCTGTGGGGAGGGGGAAGGGTTTGTGCTATATTATGATAGCAGGCACATTGCTAAGAAAGCAAGCATGAGCGAGGGATGAAATGCAGTGTATCTATCTTTGGATAGATAGCTTAGCTAGTCCTGACCATGATTTGTTAATGCTTTGCCGGCTGTAGAAACTGAAATCTGTAGAATTGCTGTCGTATTGACAACCTTATATGGCCATCCAGGCAATTGATCCTAGTGAAGAGAAGGGCAGATACAATGTAATCCTAAAATGTTTCCTACCATTTTTCTTTTCCAGTGGCTAGAAAGTTTGAGATGGTGGGGAGAGGGGATGCTGGTCTCTCGGCAGTTGTAGCTTCTTGAAAGGTTGGTTGTGGGTCTGGGGAGGGGGCACTCTGTCCATGACACACTGCATGCATATCTGAACCGGGTTCTTTTTTGGCTGCTGGTCAGAATTTCAAAAGGAAGTCTCCTCTGGCATTGCGTGAAAGAAATAGAGTGATGACTCATACAGTTGTACTCTTGGCCAGTAGATAAAGTTCTTGTCCATTGTGGCACTCCCAGCAGGGCAGGGGAGGAATTTCCCCTCCTGCATCCTTTACAATAGCAGATGGCCAATCTGGAATGATTTCTCCACTCCCTTGTAGAAGCTCTTGTTTTTCTCTGACCACTGTGGAAGTCATTAAAGTTGTGTGTACCCAGGGCCCTGCACTTGGGAATGGCATTCTTTGAAAGCCTCTGAGGTCTGGGCTAAGCAGGAAATGGGTGGTTACTGTGCAGCTCCATTGATGTCCTTGACTATATAGACCATCATCAGCTTGCTGCGTCTGCTCACTGAGTGTGGCCCTGTGCTGTCAGCTGTGTCTGCAAAGGGAGACACATGCAATGTCAGAGCACATTGCATTGTGTGTGTGGTGCAGCCTTTCTATCTTGTGCTTGAGAAAGGAGGATGGCTGGGTTCCCTTAATTGCACACGGCTCCCAAGACTGTCAGATAATCTGGCTAAACCTGTTGGGGGTGTGTGTCTGAGGCTGGTTTTCTTTGTGTGGTTTACAGAAACTCATTAGAAATGTCAACACTGGTAACTATAACAAAAACTGGCTTAGTGACCTTCAGTCACCATGGCCTTTGGTCCAACACGGTTATTTCTTCTGAATCCATCCCCATTCCTAGAAACAGCTTTCCTCTTGCTCTCCTAAAGACACGATTCTTATAGTGACATGGCCACAGTCTGTTTGCCCTTCATCCCTGCATGTATTTTGGAAATATGCTTTTGCTTCCATTTTCGGTTGCCATAATCACGTGCCTTCTTGTGGTTCCTTTCCCATAGACCTGCCTGGAGCTGGAACGCTATCTCCAGAGTGAACCCTGCTATGTGTCAGCCTCTGAAATCAAATTCGACAGCCAGGAGGATCTGTGGACCAAAATTATTCTGGCTCGAGAGAAAAAGGAAGACCCAGAAGCGAAGGTTTCCCCCAGTCCCCCGGAGGATGCTCTCAGCAGCCCCAGCTTTGGCTACAACCTGGAGACCAACAGCTTGAACTCGGATGTGAGCAGCGAGTCATCGGACAGTTCCGAGGAACTCTCACCCACCTCCAAGTTTACCTCCGACCCCATCGGCGAAGTGCTGGTCAACTCTGGGAACCTGAGCTCCTCGGTCACCTCCACACCTCCTTCCTCCCCAGAACTGAGCAGAGACCCTTCTCACCTGTGGGGCTGTGCACCCGGAGAGCCGCACCCTCCGGGGAAGATACGTGGTGGGACTTCAGGGAAGCCAGGTGACAAGGGCAGCAGCGGGGATGCCTCCCCAGATGGCCGGAGGAGGGTGCATCGATGCCATTTTAACGGCTGCAGGAAAGTTTACACCAAAAGCTCCCACTTGAAAGCACATCAGCGCACTCACACAGGTCAGTCCCTCCTGCGACCCGGGAGGTGGGCCGCTGGCGGGCGCCACTGAATCGCACCAGCCCTGGGAGGGGGCCGGGCTCCGCAGAAGGCTGTCAGAGCAGACACATCCTCACCTCACTCTTTCCCTAAAGAGTTGGGTCTCTGGGAAAGACAGAGTAGGAGGTGAAAGACTGGACATGAGCCGATGAATGGTTGACACTTTCAGAGTAAACAGACAAGAGGTAAATCACGTTCTCCATCTCCACCCAACCCCTACCCACTCCAATCCTTCCAGTTATCAGGACTTCTGGAGATAGTGTTACATGGAGTTGCCTCTGGTTTTCTTTCTTTTTCTTTTTTCTTTTTTCTTTCTTTCTTTCTTTTTTTTTTTTAATGAAACTCAACGATCAGGAGAGAGGGTGGCTGGACAGCATGGATCACGCTTGTGTTGACAGTGTGGGAATTGAACTTGACCATAGCTCTGGTAGCAGTTTTGATCAGAGGGTGCTTACTGGGAATTTCTCTGTGGATCATGCAGCTTTTGTTTTCTGATACCAATTTTAAAAACCACAAATTAAAAAAAAAAAAAAAAAAAGTTTTTTAATGAAATACCATAACCTAGCCCTAGCTGGTTTGACTCAGTGGAACTGAGAACTGAAGGGTTCTAGATTCAATTCCAGGCAAGGGCTATGGTTACAGGCTCTATCCCTGGCCCTGGTCAGGGCACGTGCTGGAGGCAACCAATCAATGTGTCTCTTTTGCATCAATGTTTCTCTTGGTCTTTCTCCCCCCTCCCTCCCACTCTCTAAAAATCAATGGGAAAATATCCTCAGGTGAAGATTAACAAAAAAAGACATACAGCGACCTAGATGAAAGTTCCATTTAAAATTACTATTGTAGTCTCTAGGGTAACTGGTGATGAGTCACAGAAATGTTCGAGCTGGAAGGGACCTTAGAGATCTAGTCACTCAAGCTCTCATCCTATCAGTGATGAGAGGAGATAGCTGAGCCCTCAGCCAGGGTTCCCAAAATGGTCATGACCGAGGGGGATTAGGACCCAGTTGCCATTTGTCCCAACAGCATTCTCTGGGACTGGTTCTGGCCAAATATTTACTGTCCTCAGGTAACACTTTTTGGTGAATTCATATTTATAATCTGTCCAAGGAACAGAGTGGACTTGATTATTTCATTGTCATTTAAAAAAAGTTCTCTGTTGGCCCTAGATGGGGTTTCCGAGAAACTCATGACTTCAGTTCTGGAGAAATGTAGTTTCTCGGAGGAAATAACAAAGCTCATTCCACAGGGAAGTGAGTAAGGAGCAAAATAAGTACTTGGGAGAAACCGTTTCCATGGAGAAAGCAATAAAACCCTGCCCTCAGAGGCTGTGGGTCCAGTGGGCTGACACATCACCTCCAAAGTATTTCTTCAGTCTGAGTAATCGTCTTTCTTACATATTAACTGACTAGTCACGTGGGCTCTGGGTCGCTTCCACAGCCCTTGCAGGCCTGAGGCTAGGTCAGGAAAGAGCTCCTGTGTGTTTCCTTCTGAGCGCCAGCTGCTGCTCCTAATTGAGGAGTTCCCCAGGCCACCAGGCCTGGTGCTTGCTAATGAGTTGACTTTCCCCATGTGGAGTTGTAGCAGGGCCCCTTCCCTCACTGGACAGTGAAGTCATGGCATGCTTGTCTTGTGCTCTCTTCCCAGGAGAAAAGCCTTACAGATGCTCATGGGAAGGTTGTGAGTGGCGTTTTGCAAGAAGCGATGAGTTAACCAGACACTTCAGAAAGCACACTGGTGCCAAGCCTTTTAAATGTTCTCACTGTGACAGGTATGTGCTTGAAGCGCCGGGTTTGGGAATGCCATCCCCCTATTGGCATAGGCATATGTTAAACCTGGAGGAAGGCAGATATTTTCCTGTTCTGTATTGTCCTAGGACAAGTCTCTCCCATGCCTATTGTCCAAATTAGGATGCTCTGTGTCCTGGGTGTGCAAAACCAGAGTGATTTCATTTCTACTGTAGTAGGCCTTCAGTAGTTTTTGAATTCCAAGACTGGGCAGTAATGTGCTTCAAAGAGCTTGCTGAATGGACACCTTAATGTCTATTTCTAGCAGTTGGAATTTCCTAACCCAGAAAATAAATTGTGTGATTCGGTGGATTGCCAGCTTCCCTTTGAAAAGGGCTAGGTAGGGGGTGTATAGGGTGGGAGATCTGTAATCCAGCAAGGACTGGAGATCTAACCTCTCTGATGCTGATTGGTCCTGCAGGTGTTTCTCCAGGTCTGACCACCTGGCCCTGCACATGAAGAGGCACCTCTGAGGGAGCAGAGTGTGAATCCTGCGGCTAAAACGGCTTCCAGGCTGAGAGACGGCCATGGAAGGAGGGTGCGTGTTCCAGCCAAAGCATGCCATTTTGCACCCCACCCAGTTGCCTCCAGGACCTCTCCTTGGAAGGTCTTTCGAAGGCGAAAGAAGTCATGTCAGAAGCGGCAGAGCGCCTGTGGTGTGTGGTGTTTGGGTGGCCTGGACTCGCCACTGTACCTATCTTCTGAGTGGTCCCTAAGCCTTTGCCGTGAGCATGTGCACTGAGAATGTTAATGGTTGGGTTGACTGTATGTGGAGGATCTATTAGGACTGTGTGATGAGGCAGAGTCTTTCTTGTGCAGTAGCAAGACTGCAAGAGACAGAAAAAAATATCGTTTGAATGTTTTGTTGTGTGACAGGTAAACCATGAGATGAGATGACCACCAATCATTTCTTTGGGGGGTGGGGGGATGTCTGCGCCTTAGGAAAAAGAAAAAAGAAAAAAAGAAAAAAAAAGAAGGGAAAACATGGAGGGCGGAGTGTGAGTGGTCAGAACCCTGTGTGGCGAGTGTATGTGGGAGGGGAAGCCCTCCTGTGTGAGAGGAACATTGGCGTCTGGTGCAGCTACAAAACGTGCAATGTGTCAAGTAGCTTGTTCTACTGGCTACAACAGCTCATTTGTTACCCTTTGTATAAGCTGTGTATTTACAAATATAACACAATGGTAACCTTTCCTTATAAGACAAAAGTAATGCATGGTCTAGGGAATTTTCTGCTTTTCCATTTTTAAATCAGAACTGCAATTTTGATTCCAGTTACTGAGCAGCTAAGATACAATTTGATGAAATCAGTGATCCCTAGCCATTTGGGCCTGGCAATACACAATTTCTCTCCCCTTCGATTTTTGTAACACTCCCCTTCCAGAAAGGTGGCGTGCAGCATAGGATTGTTTTTTTTAAAATGATTCTGAATTGGATGACCTTTTTGGAAATTCAGTGATGCCCTTCAAGACATTGGACACACACTGGGTGTCAAGGATGCGAGGGCAGGGAACTCCTGGTCTAATGGTACATTAGACTCAGACACCTAAAATTTTCTCAGTTGGGTGGATAAAACCACTAAAGCTTAGAAAGTGTTTTCTCATGCAGCTATGTTTCTCTTATTTATGCCTTGAGGACTAATTTCTGGTTTTCTAGCTGTTAATGCACTGTAGATCTTAATAATGGTGCCTTATGCAAGTGGCCCCTTATGGGGGTCTCATACAGGGGTATGGGTGATGCATGCTTTATTAAGGCTCTTTTTTCACCTGGCATTGTACTGTATCAATGTAAAATACAGAAAAAAAATCTCTAAAGTCCTCCTTCACAAAGACAAATAGAGAGATAACCCCCACCCCCAAACAAGTCAGTATTTACTCAATATTTTACATAACTTGACCATCAGTGTTAAAATGGAAAACACATGATAATTGAAAAACCTGACCATTTCTGCCACCAAGAGACTTTTCGTATAGACTTTGCACAACAATTGTATAAATCACACACCGGCTGTATTTAATATGTAATGTTTTCACGCATATTAAAGATACAGAAGTATAAAAAAAAAACAATGTTAATGTATTTGCTTAAAAGGCACAAGTTTCACATACCTATCTAGCTATTTGTTGGTAATACAGAAAGTATATTAATTTTTTAAAAGTGGGCAGAATTCTTGTGTATGTATATTTGTGTGTAGAGTATGTATATGTTTGTGTGTGTGTATATATATATATACATATATATAATATATAAATATTTTTTTAAGGAGAAATTAGATGTTTAGCTAGAAAATTTCACAGCCTGTGAAGAAATATTTCAAAATGGCCATAAAGGAGGTAAAAATGAAAACTATAACTTTTATAAAGGCTTTATCTTTAATTTAATGATTTGCTACAGACTCTTGGCAAGGTCTCCATTCCAGACTGCTGACTTTGCTCATCTTACTGGCACGTCTGGAACAGGGTACTGTTGGCCACTCAAAATTGGCATGAACGGAATACTAGCCCACAAGTTGGTCTCAGACACACTATGGTTTTGATTTTTAATTTCGGCCTTATTAGACGATCTAAGAGTTAGCTAATTACAGGGATTGTTTTAGAACACTTTTTATGCAGATGAAAATTTTTTTTTTTTTTTTTTAGCACATAAATTCTTCCCATTTTTCCAATGAATGATTTTCCTGAATTGGCACACCACAGTGTGGACAGCTGATATTTCATCCAGCTGCTGGCTTGTGGGTGTGGATCTTTTTTTTTAATATATATATATATATATATACACATATATATACACATGTGAGTCTGGCTGGGCTGGTATTTTGTTTGATCTTCCTTGGAAATGAGCAATGATGAAAGCTCGAATAACTGTTTTTTGTTTTTGTTTTTATCTGGGCAGATGAGTACACTTACCTAAAGAACTCATTTCATTTTGCTAAGGGGAAAATGCACTTTTGGCAATTCAAAATCCAGGCATTTGATTTGCTGGATTTTGGAAAACTCCTTTTTTGGCCCTGCTGTGCGCCTAGCCATAACAATTCCATTAAGTAAGAAGGTAAACAAAAGACAAAAAGGAAAAAAAAAAAAAAACCCACACAACTTGCACTGGCTTGTCTCACTTATGAAACACCATGGAGTTGTCTGATTGGGTGGGGCTGGGTGCCGTGTATATCAATGCCTGTAATTTTCATAATAAGCAAGTACATAAAGAATTATATTCTGTTCAGGTGATAACTGAGCCTCAATCAAGCAGAAACTTTTTGCTTGACATTAAAAAAAAATTTCTATTAGTGAAATTTCTTTTTTTTGAAGCACCCTGTTATCTAAAGAATCTTTGTAAGATTTTTGTAAAATTTTGTTTTACAAGATTTTATTTGAAATTGTTTTTTGCAAGATTGTTATATTTCTGTATGAATGTATTTTTTATTGGAATAACATAAAAGAATTCTTATCAGGATCTCCATGACTCTGCTTGGTTTTTCCAAAGGGCGGGATGGGGAATGGGGGGGGAGGGATGAAACAAATTCCTGTTCTATTAGACAACCTTGGGAAATGTCCCTCGGGCAACTCTGAAAGCCTCTTTCCAGCCTAGTCCCTTCCTTCCAGCTTCACAGCCTGACCTGGGAGCTAATGTGCAAAAAAAAAAAAAAAAAAAAAAAAACAGCCTAATGTGCTCCCCTGAAATGCACCGAATTCCCTTAAAGCAACCTCCAGGCTTAGGCTTTGGGGCACAGTAGGAAAACATTTTCTCCTGCATTTTATCTCCCTGTCACTAAAGCCTGGGGAATACACTGCTGAGGCATCTGCACAAACTTGAATGCTCCCTTTCCCTTTCTTGTGCTCCAGCAGCTCTATGCCAGTTAAGCAGTTAGATCAGGGCCAGCCTTCTCTGACCTGGCCCACACACCTGGCGGAGTTGTCACAGACGAAGGCAAATATGACAGGAGGGACAGCAGGCCCAACGCAGCCCTAGCTTCTATAACCCTCCCTTCCACAACCCCTGCCTTCTCTGGTAGACCAGTAAGATGGGGTATAAAGTAAGAGGTTGTTTACATGATCAGATAATTTTGCATCTTTTTCTTTAAACGCTAATGGGACACATTCAATGTAGAGTTTGAAAATAAATAGTACACTTTTGGATTTTTATTAGAGTTTCATGTAAGTAGCCTTAGATCTCCATTCCAGTTTTACTGTGTGTCAGTAGCATCAGTTTATCTGCAAGTCCATTTTCAGGCCATAATAAGCTAATCCATAATGATAGGTAAAAGCAATGTGTGCTTTCCAGAAGGGGCTATAGGATGGTGGAAATTTCCATGAGAGAGCTTCTTGATGTTCTTCCTTTGAAGAAGTTCTCATTTTGGTTGCGTAAGTGCTCATGACTTCTCTTCATAGCAGATCTTTGTTTTGCTAGATGTGCAGGCTTTTCACTAGTCGATTTTAATTTTATGATTGGGGAGGGGAATTTTTAAACGAATGCCCAATGTTAAGTGGCTTTCTAGAACTGCAGTAAAAATATCAGCCATTCGGGAGGCGTTGTGGCGTGGGAGGGTGGAGGAAGCTGATGAAAATTTGGCCAGGACTCCTGGGTGTGTTGTGTTCTGAAACACATGTCAGGATGACTAATAGTTGGATTGCCCTGACTGTATGGCTAAATAAAGGCTTGATAATGCATTCTCTGCTACTGGTAAGACTTGACCACTTTGTCATGTGCAGACTATGCCGAACAGCTCAGTTATGTTCAAATAAGGCTGTTAGGAGAACTGTTGTGCAAGGAATCGGCTGTAAATCCAGCATATTTATAGAAGTATAAAAAATTTCAGTCTGCTTAACAAATTTTTTGAAACCCAGCTCAAAGACAGGAAATGTTCCCGTTCTAACTAGTTGCTGTGTGCTATTGGACAATTTGCTGATCTACAATGGATTTCCACTTTCTTATTGCTGAAATATTTTGAGCTAGGTCACATGCATATAGCATTTTATTTAACACTACAATTCTGTGGTCTGTGAGAATAGGGTGGACTTGAAATTATAGGTTCACCATCTACAGATTCTCAGCTCAGATCTAGAAAGCTTTCTCATGTGCTGCTATAGTAGAAAGGATTGTTGAGAGGATTTCTCTGACTTAGAACGGAAACAGAAAGCTCTCAGATTGCCCTTTGCCCCTTTATGGTTAAGTTATTCAGGCTTTTGGTGCTTTTTAGCATGCCATCATTTTATTTCAAAAATAAACAAACAAAATACCTCTTTTAAAAGTGCCATTATAGCCATTGCAGATCCAAGTCTGTCATATTCCACACACAGCCACCCCCCCCAAATCTTAGTCCACACACCTGTCCGCACAAACAGTGGGGGTGGGGACTATAGTCAAGTTGTTTACCTTTGTATTGTGGTTGGCTGTGGAGAAAGAGCACAGCTTTCATATGTAACACCTTTCTTAGGTCCTAACCATATGGCACCATGAGCTATTTTTTAACAACCCTCCTTCTCCAACTACATTCTTCCTCTCCCCAAATTGGGTGATAATGAAGATGATGATATCTACTACTTCTTGTGCCTTAACCAGGAACTGGGTAAGACAATATGTCATATCTGTGTGAGCGTGGTGTGTGTGTGTGTGTGTGTGTGTTTGTGTGTGAGTGTGTGTGTAATGCCACACGGTAGGTATTATTCCCATTTCACATATGAGGAATATTGAAGCTTCAGAAAGTGAAGCTGCTTTCCCTAGATCACTTAGTCGCAGGCAAGCATCCAATCCACGGCTCTCAAATGGCAAAAGACCAAGGTTTTAATCACCACTGAACTCGGTTTTCTGTCTCACCCAGGCTCCCACAAGAGCCCGTTGAATTCACCTTAAAATGAAGTTACATTTATGAAATGGAGACAACTTTCTTACAATTCAGAAGCACTAAAGCTATAAACTGCGCTGTAATTCTGAGCAAACAAAGTAACCATTTTGAATTGCTTTCAAGATATGAGACAGATGGCATGTATTTATTTTTAATGTTTAAGAAGATAGAGAACACAATTGGGGATGTGACATCCTGCATTAATTGGCAAGCATCACCTAATGTACGTAGTTAAGACACAAAGAGAGGAAAATTAGGATCATGCATCACCCAAATGAGGCAATACAACAAAGTGTATTTAACTAGATTTATTTTATAACATGTTCTCGTTCCCTGTAAGTAATTTTAATGAGGATCCTCTAAACAACTGTGAATGGAAAGAGACAAAGAGGAGAAGGAATCTGGGTACCACATGTCCTGATAGGAACCATACTGGGCTGAGCAGTTACCGAAGAATTTTCAATAACAGATAGATATAACGAACATGCCCTTAGTCACCGAGTCCCCCTCCAAATAGTTTGTATTGACTTCCCTGTACATAACCCATGCCAAAACCAAAACAAAACAAAAAACCACACCACATGATCCAGGAATCCAGGATTGTTTCTTAAGTGAAGAACCCCCAATTCAAAGCTCCATGAACAATTAGTGACTATTTAAAAGATTTATCTGCTTAGATAATAAATTACTGTGTGCCACGCCACATATCAGCTTTTTTTTTTTTTTTTTTTTTTTTGCAAGATGCCCAAGCACATTTATCTATGACTTGCATTTACTGGCTCAGCATAGCTCTGTCCCCCTCCATTGCTTAAGTTTCACATTACCACATTTCATTTGAGTTGTGCAAGACTTTCCTCCAGATGTGCAAGGTAGGTAATGACATGCGCTGGCATTATCAATTAGCTCAGTGTAAAAGCAGGGGGCATTGCCCGGTATCATTTTCCTCTTCGTGTTGGGGAGGAGATGAAAGCATATGGAACAGGTAAGATGGCAGTAAAGGCAGTGTGCCCTACTGCGCCTTTCACATGGGAATGAATGTAAAAACTTCTCCACTTTCACCCCCCATCTTCACTCATGTGATACCATCCTCCCCAAAATAGGTCACGTATTCACAAGCTCAAAAGTCAGAGCAAGCCTGCTGCTCACCATGAGACCTATGTACATGTAAACTGTAAAAAAAAATTAACTCTTCAAGATAAAATTGCCTTTGGGAAAAACTGAGATATATAAATTATTGAAAGCATTTTTTAAAAAAATAGTGTTTGCTACAGATTTTATTTTTTTAATGTATATTTTATTGATTTCAGAGAAGAAAGGAAAGGGAGAGAGATAGAAACATCAATGATGAGAGAGAATCATGGATACCTGCTTCCTACACACCCTTCACTGGGGATCAAGCCAAAACCTGGGTGTGTGCACTGACCTGGTTCACAGGCCGACACTGAACCACTGAGCCACACTGGCCAGACAATGATGTTTCAGTTTTAATTATCCATCTGTCCTCATACTCTGTCAGAATATGGAGGCCAGGTAGCAGCTGAAAGGACTCATGGGGCAAGAGGACTCTGAAAGTCCAGCATTTCTGAGTTTGTCCCCAGCAGCATCCCTCCGTCCTCTATGGTCTGGGCAGAGGTGCAGCAGAAAGGGCTACTGGAGCTTTGCTGAGTGGAATAGCTGCCACACACTCAAATTTTGAGTATGTCAACAGGATGCAACAATGGGAACTATGGGTTCCAGTGCCCTTCTGACGAGAAATGTTCCTGAAGTTTAAGAGAGGAAGAAGTGCCAGCAACTTCTGGCTCTCCATGGATCAATCATGACCCACCCCTGCACTTCCTGCAGTTAGGTAATTCTGAATGTTTCTTTTTAAAAATGTCCATATTCTAGTGACCAGCTGGGGTGGCTCCTGGTGGCCAGACAACTGAACAAGAACAAGAAAACATTGTTGCCCAAGCATCCTGCAGCCCTTTCTTTAAACTGAGAGTTCCCTTGGAAATGCTTGATGGGAACACAATCTCAGAAATACTGCTTGTTAAAGGGGAATTCTAACATTATATTTGACAGGGCATTTCAGTATTATGTCCAGTGGAGCCTTCCCACATGGAACTTAAGAATAGAAGATTCACTAATTCCAATCCCTTGAATGTTGTTTTTCTCATACCCAAGGTGGGACAATGAGAATCCTTTTGGCATTGATGTAAGATTAGAGATAAGGTACGGAGGGATCAGTAGTTGGTCATTATTTCATTGTGTGCTGGATATTTATTTCTCCACAAAGAACAGGAAAAGAATTCTTGGTCTTCCCATTGAATTTTTTAAAAGCAATTATTAAAAAAAAAATAGGGTTAGGAAACATTCACTCATTATTTTCCACAACATAATTTTCCAGTAAATTGAGTGAAGGACAAGCTGAAACTTTTATGCTGTATTTTTATGATCAATAAAGTCGTTTCCTCTCGCAATACTGGCTGTGCTGCTGAAATCTTGCAGGAAGGAAGTTCTGCAAGACTTTGAGTAAAACATTTCCTGTCAAAAGCCGTGAACACAGTGACCAGTGGCAGAACTGAATTGACCAATAGATTCAAAGAGTTGAA